AGAACCAACAAATTAAATTGGTGTGGCCTAACAGTACAAACAAGATTATAGTCGAGCTGCATATACTTGTACCATTGTTAATGTACATTAAGTACAATGAAGATGAAATCTTGCCATTAACTTTAAGGCCACACCTATTTGATTGGTTGGTTCTCGGATTTTTTTTTTCAGAAAAAAATGTGAAGCAACAAGGCACAAAAAAAAACAGGCTTATAAGTACACATCCTCTGAATCTGATATCCCCTTATGTATCTGTGTTGTACATATGTATCTCGAGAGAACTGAAGGCTTAGTCAATTTGCTTCAATTTTGCATGTAGAGGTTTTAAAGTGCATGTAAATTTCTGCCAACATGCTGGAAAAAAGTACATGTATTTCGAGCCCTGCCCTGTAGAGTACACTCAATGAAATCAGTGACTGGACAGATGCATTGTATATCAGACTGCCACAATCTGAAGAATTCATAATACATTTTGTATCTAGGAGGGGTCAATAACCTTTTTGTAGAGCAACCACAGTTATTATTATAATACACTGTAGCAGAGAAGTCAAACAGTAATAAAATAAATTGACAGTCAAGACAGTATCAAATAGGCAAGGCAGTATCCAGTTGCCACCTGTACATGTTTGGCTGGTAAAAAAAGAAAGATGCCAGTAAGAAAAAGAAAGCCTGATAAAAATGCCTAAAAAACATGAAATATTATATTAAGCTGAAGCCTTAACCTCTGATTGGAGAGTACAAGGTGTCTTCCTCTACATGTAAGGCCACACCAATTTAATTTGTTGGTTCTCGGATTCGCCTCTTCGTTTTTTTCTGATTTGCAAAAAAAAAAAAATTTGATTCTGGTCCTGAATCAACTGAAAAATGCTCATGTTTTGCCCCCAACAGTTGAGGAAAGTCCTTTTCTTCCTACTAGTTACAGTTTTCCCATCTATCATTGCAGTGGTTTGGTTAAAAGTTCAAAATTCAATGTTTAAATTTTAACCCAGCCTTTTGTGTTGACTTCATGGCTCATTCCATAGCATTTAAGCCTATGATAGGATGCCTAGACCTGTTTTTATTTTTATTTTTTTCGCCCTGTCGCTTCATATTTTTTCTGAAAAAATCCGAGAACCAACAAATTAAATTGGTGTACATGTGGCCTTAACATGAATCATCGCTAACATCATTACAGGACAGATTTAGACCTATCCTGAGTTTGTTCTGCAGTAATTTTTTTTTTCATTTCGTTAAGAATGACCACATTGGATGACTACTGATTGTGTTATTGAATCAGACAGTTTGCCCCAGAAATATCTGACCTATGATATTACAAAATGTGTCGGGATTTGGCCGTCCCACGTACACAGTCCATTAACAGGCTGAATGACGCATAACTGAACCTATGATATATAGCCCAAGGAACGGTCAGCAAACTTACCTTTTACTTTCTATGCCATATTCTGGGTCACAGGTGGGATTTGTAGATAAAGTAATAAGCACCATGCCCTCTGGT